GAGAAAGAGGAGAATGAGGGGAGAAGGAGGAGGAGTTAAGTGTTTTGGTTTCTTATCATTAATCGTAAGTATTTTAGCAATTGTGCAGGCTGTAGTACATAAAGAACTTCAAAACGATGAGCAGTGCTGTTAACATGTTACGTGCACGCCTTCAGCAATATTGCTGGCTAAGTTATGTTAGTCAGCAACCGTCAAAGATTTTGTTACAACCGTCACGTTCATGTCTCATCGCCAGGCGTGGTAGCGCTAAGCTTGGCGGTCTATTCTAAAATGCAGGAAATGAAGCATTTACAAGCAGACCGGTGACTCAATTTAAGCAGCTTGCGTCGTATCCGCAACCGCCACACAAAAGGCCTTATGATACGGACCCGTTCGTGTGTCAAGCTTATCGGTGTCGACCTCGTTTCGCCGTGCCGAGCGTGTTGTGTCAACGCTTTGGCCTAGCGTTCGTTAAACAAAGTTTCCTTCCAACATGGCGAGATCATATGGCGGGGTTTTGTCAACTGCGTATTAGGAAGGCCGACACATTTAAGGAGATATCATGAAGTGAGTGGGAATGCACTAGATTCTAGATGGTGTTGTGAAGTTCTACGTAAATAACAAAAGCCTTACGACAGACAATAAGGCTTAATATACCTGTTCTCCGATGATATTCGTTTATGTAAAAAGGGTTGAAACAATAATTAAATCTATTTATTTTTTGCCTTAGCAACATTTCACATTACTTATCATACCTTAGGCCTATGTTTGTTGTTGATATTTCTCTGCATTGTGTGTATTTAATACCATTTAATGGATTTTAAAGAGAATGTGTAACATGACAGTAGATATTACCAGCAATGGCAGTTCGAAAGTAAAATTAAGCTAGCCCAATTTATGCAATACATAGTTAAAATGGTTTTATGGTTGCGTTTTGGTAGATAATTATTATCAATGTCCCAACACATTCACTCTAACTGTTATTTTTGTAGTTGGCGTTTCAAGGTGCAGTGTATTTGTCTTTAGGCTAGTCATGGTCACCAACTAAAATAGCTTGTTACCTAGGCTCTTTATTTTGCTTTGAATATTGATGTTTATCGCGTTTCATTTTTAGAAACAAAGTGCACTTCCTGCGTATTCCAATAAAAGGTTGCACCCGGAAAAGAATCATTTTGTGGTACCTGGGACAGAACCTACACTGCTACGTGACTGTTGCTCTCATGTGAATCAAAACGCCACTATATAATAATAACAATAATAATAATAATAATAATAATAATAATAATAATAAT